AGTAAGCTGCCTCTTGGTATGACTATGATCTAAAAGAATTGACAAGCGATATTATCTTGTATGTTGGGCAATTTTTCTGCGTTCGGTTTCAATTGTAGTACTGGTTGCGGTTGGTTGCTTGGTACTTTACCTACGGGTGGAATGGATTGGCGTTTGCTTTTTTTTCCCTTTATGTTATGTTTACTCACTATACTCATTCTCATTTCTGCATGATGGAAGGACGGGGATTCTTTCTTGTAAACTTTTTTTATTGCCGGTTCCACGGGTGTCTCCGCATCGTCTATCTATCGAATGATACAGATACTTTTACAACAGAGTTGAGACCCTACACCAAAGAAAGCCCCTCATACTCCCTAACCACAGGCACCTCTACCTCCACCACCTGCCCACCCTCCATCAAATGCGGCACAAAAACCGTCGGCACCGCCTCCTTTAGCATTGCCAGCAACTCCACCACCGCCTGCTGCAGAGCACCGGCACTCTCCCTCATGCCTCGTCTAAACATCGCCTCGACCAGCCCCGCCATCTCCTCCCTAACACTATCGACCCGCTCTACAAGGCGACGCACGGAGTTGACCAGATACTCCTCTTCGTAGACACTGCCCTTCTTGCCGCGGGCGCGCTTCCGCTCGTCTTTCCGGCGGTTCTTGGAGGTCTTCCTTGTCTCGCCCGTCTGTGCGGTTCCGAGGGAGGCACCGGTGTAGCGGGTAAACAGCGAGGCGCCCGACGTGCTGGCGTTGGTCGGCGCGAGAGAGACATTGTCGGGTGCGTCGGCCTCCGTGATGGCGTCGAGATAGGCGAGCGGGTCGATGCTGGCTTTTTCGCGGAGCTCGGCGATCCGCGCGGTTTGTGCCTTGAGTTGCCCGCGGCACTCGGCGAACAGGCTGGATGACGAGGCGAAGGCGTCTGTGAGCGCGGGGTCGATGATGGTGCTTAGGAGTGTGGGTTGCTTGTGCAGCATCACGGTCCGCATGGCCTCTGAGTAGTGGGTGCCGGCGCACAGGGCGGCGGCCGCCGAGGGCACGTCGGACAGATACGAGAGGTAGATTGTTGCTGCTTCGCGGTGGAGTTTTTGTTCGGCCAGGGATTCGGCCAGGGAGGCGGCGAGAGAGGGGAGGTCGGACACTTGGGCCCGCGTCGCGATGAAGAGACATTCTTCCCATTGTCCGGCGTTTTGGTAGCTTTCTATTGCCAGGGCTGTCTCGTCCAGGTACTCGTATGCTACATCCAGATACATCAGCCATTGAGCCCCGCCACATTTGCCAATCTTGAGACCAACCAAATCCTGCCTCCTTGAACCGACTCATAGCATGTAAGAAATCGGCATAGTCGCGCATGACAGCTTTCATATGTTCCGGCTCGTATTTGTACAGCTGGAGGGCTTCGGTATACAGTTCCTTCCGAATAGCGTACCTTCGAGTCTCCTCGAAGCTATCGCCGCCCATGTCGAATAAACTTTGTAGCGCTTTCGAGTACCGGCCAAGCTTATCATCGATCGTGAAGCGACGTCGGAGCTCGGACATTTCCTGGAGGCTTTGTAGGAACGGAAGGTACTCTCGTGGGTCCTATCAAGCTCAATTAGCACGAATAACGAGCGAGTGAGTAGTTGTGACGAACCTTCTGTGCCTGTTGTGCAATCATGATCGCTACTTCCAGATCATATATTCCCAGAGCAGTATCATACAGCTTATTAACATCGGACAGGAAACATATATGTGTAATCGCTTGTTCGTACAACTCCTTCCCCTTGAGCGATGTAATCAAGCTCAGCGCCGACTCGTGGTCTGGCGGAGTCTTGCATACATATGCAGTGATGATGTTTTGCATGTGTTTAGAGAGATACTTTTTCCGCAGGACGTCGATGAAGGCATTACAGATGGTATTGACTTTGTTAGTAACTCCAGTAGCAGAAGGTTTTGTTTCCGGCAAGAGGGATGTGACGGAGGGCAGTGTCTCCCTGTACATAGTCTTCGTCACATCTTCTTCCCTATGTCCCAGTTAGCGGGTTCTTTCCCCCAGTAACAGGTGAAAGTCTATCAGAGCATACCGTAATTGCGAAAGTACCAGATCGATATATTCAATCTTCTTCAACTGTGTGACAAACAGCTCAATGCACTCCAGAAACTGCGCGGGCGCGTAATCATGCAGTAAGTTAAGGTCTACACGGTTATTTCGACACGCAAGGAACGCTTTCTTATAATTACGAGCTTCAATGCTTCTGCGTATTCCTGCCAGCACGAGGGCCCGAGGGTAGATGGCTTCGAGATTTCCACGAGGCATCTGCAGGACTAGCGAGAAAGTAGAGGGCATCACGCTGACTATGCGCGAGCCACGCTCGATGTTTCGGCAGCGCTCGTCACCGTTGGCTTCATCGGAGGGCACTTCGAGATCTACATTCCGAGTTAGTGGCTGGAACAGAAATTTCTGAATTGACAAAGACCTACCGTGGATGCTGGATGCCAAGTGAATGAATTTGATTACATGCTGACTGGTCGTGAATATCAAGTGCGAATCTGTAACGGCAAACGATGTGCACGACGAAGCCAGCAGTCGTTCATTGGCGTAAAGACGTCCAGCCTCCGAAAGACCAAACACGATAATCTCAACTCAAAGTTAATAAAAATCCTTATGGTGGGCACTTGCAGAGTCCTACCTGGCCCTCTAGAGTGACGGCTTCCATCCACGGACATTTTGCGGGGAGCGCGCAGACCGGATAATTCGTTCTGTCCTCGAAATTGTATCGAGTCACAATTCCAGTCTGGCTCTGACGCAACACCCCTCCAAGTTCTCCAGCAGCCTTGATGTTGCACACTGACGAGTCGATGGTGAAAAAGTGGAGATTCTCAGCGTCTACTGGATTGCTAAGCGTTACTCGGCGCAATATATTTGCATCACCTGCATCCTCTCCCAGCAGGCAGATTGTCTCCTCATCGAGGAAACAGACCTGGCGAAAGCTTTCGCTGCTTGAAAATGTGAAGAGATTTCGAGTGACTTCAGGATCCTTCGCTGGCTTGAACCCCCAATCGATGAGATCCACACTAGTGTGCTGCAGGACTGCAATACGGGTGCCGCTTGGGCTTATTGCCACGTCAACAGCTGTGGCGTCCAGTCCCGCATCACAGAATGACATCGGTGGTGGAATATTGGCGATTCGAATCGGCGTCAGTTTAAGCTTGTCTGCGTGCGGGATTGTGAGAAATCAGATGCTTCCTCTTCATAGTGGGGTACACACCTCCGTCCACCACACCAACAATGCCGTAATCATTGGGCGCGACCAACGACCCTGAGGCAGTGTTCCATACAAACGAGTTGAATTTGACCATTTCTAAAGCCGCATCAGCACTGATCGAAATAGGAACGACGATTGACGCCTGAGTTCTTACTGGCCGAAGTAAGGACAAATTGCAAGGGTTTCTCGGGGTGCCATTGGAAACCATATTTAATTTCTGTAGAGGAAGACGATGAAGAGGGGACCATGAGCTCCTGCTTTAGATACCAGTGATAATTTCCCGTGCTCCACAGCTGGACTCTATCGGCGAGGCCAACTGCCAGCACTGAGGAATCTCCGTTCCAGAGCATCGAATTGACCTTGAGCTCAGTCGATGGCGTCTTCTCTCCTGTCTTGAGAGTAAACTCTCCATGACGAAGACCATTCCGTTCAAAGAAAACAACATCCACCCCGCTGGGCTTCCGCTGAATACCGGCGATCAGGTTGCCGACTGGCCGCCAGCTCAGCGGTGATTCTAGTCCATCTACTGGCTCGCTAACACTGTCCAACTGTCCTTCACGACTGTACACACGGACCATTCGTCGTTCCTGGTCCTCGATCGTAGACACAGCCAGGTATGCACCATCACCCCTCCAAGTGATCACAGTCTGCGCGTCGTCCCGCGGACTAAGCACTCCCGAATCCACCTTCTCCGGCACTGTAGGATCCCTTAGGCCTTGCGCCTTCGCATGTTTCCCCTGGAACTGTGTTTCTGCTTTTCCCCAGCCGACGCTCACATGTCTCGACGCTTTGAAGTCCTCGACTGAAAATGCCACTTCCTCGATCGGCTCGAACTCCCTCGTCATCAACAGTAGTGTCTTGGTCTTTGTCGCAATGGCCAGCACCTCTTCGTCGGGTGACCATGCGGTGGCCGAGATCCCGCTCTCGATGGACCCAACAATCTCAACCTCCACACCTATGTCCTGTTCGCGCACAAGCACTATATCTCCGCCTGAGAAGATGACGCATGTAGAGGATGTATCCGGGAGGTAGAACAAGCTGACGATGCGATTATTCGTGGCCTCGTCGTCGTCCGGTATTACCGTGGCCTCCCATGAGGTTATTGGCGTAAAATCTCCATTTGCCTACAATTCCCTCCTCATCAGCGGGGCATCCCAACTCCTCCGATATTATCTCCAACTCACCGTAGCCCTCATGAGCTCTACCAGTCCCTCCCCCTCCGACGGCCCAAACGCGCATATTAAACTGTCGGTGGAAACATCCCACGTGGACGCAGTAATAGGCGCATCGGGGAAGATGGTGGCTTCAACGGCGACGGTGCGCTGGTATGTTTTCAGTAGGTTGCGCATTGTGGGGTTGTGGCCGTTTGTTTGTTTGTTGCGGTGAAGACGGCTGCGACGTGCCCCGCTATAATTTTTGGGTTAAACATGTGCCCCACTACTGGGTGGTACAACTATGACACACGTAACCACACTCCGACACAAAAGCGGAGCCGCATTGCGGCATAAGCTGAACACTTGAGCGAATTCATCGAAATCATGTCACTCGACAGGAAATTCTCCGAATTTTGAAGGATTTGAGTCGGAAGGCGCAAGGCTGGTTGATTGGAGTGGAGTATTCAAACGTATTTGTAGCCGGTGGTCTGTTGCCGCCCAGGGCGAGGATCGATGACACACTACTATAGACCGTCGGTCTTCACGGTCAGGTTGGCTTCCGCATGCCAATAAATGCGCAAGTCTTAGCCAGCTCCAGATGAGAAGCTGTTGTTGTGGCCACATTCCGCCGTCGCCGCCTACGCAGTTCGATTTCAACATATGCCTCAGAAAACTACCCCCTCGATCTTTCCCAACACACAGGAAGGCAACACGCATGCAGAGTGGGTACCAATGAAGATCGGTTCTATCCATTATGATACAAAGTTCGAGCATAACGAAACCCAGCACTTGTGCTCGAAGCAAGCTGCATGTACCACAATCACCCTGGCCCCATCTACCTCACAGTCGCTCAAGAATGGTGCCACGTTATACATCTAGGCGTTCTTCCTGAGCTGGTAGACGGCGATGCCGAAGGGAAGTCCGAAGCCGACGACTGTTCCGGGGATGTCAGGGTACAATTTGAGTGAAGCTGAATGGCTGAGTGAACATACCGCAGAAAGAGACGTATCGGACGGCGAACCACTTGGTCAGAGGGTTGAAGGGAAGGTTGCTTCGGGGACCCTCGGGGTAGTGGTATCCGCCCATGCGAGCCGGAGTGACGGAGAGGTTTCGGCGGGCGGCCACAAAGGGGCTCTGGCGGGCGGCAAGGGCCGAACGACGAATAGTTCCGGAGATCATGGCTTGACGCAGTACGAAGTCAGCAGGCAGACGGACGGCAATGATCGGTAAGGCGGGGTTTTCCGGACTCAAATCACAGGCGCTGAATGCCGAGTTCGAAATTTGGGTGTGAGCTCGAGAGGAATGAAGATGCTTACCGGAATGCTGGCGGGTTGGCAGTGTGCTGAGACTGAGTGGAGATGGAGGACTTGGTGGTTGGTGGTTTGGTGGAATGGGGCGATGGGCTCTGGGTGGAAGCGTTTCGGGATTTACCCAGCCAGACCAAACAACCCTAGACGACTAGCGCTTCTGTCTCTCCCACTTGCTCAGAGGTAGAGTGGAAATCGGCCCAGGCCCCCTGCTGGCATTCAATCAATAGAACGCTTGGCTCAGTGCGTTACCCGGCCTCCGATTGCCCGCCTGTGGTCCCACCAGCCCTCGATCCCACCACGAACAAAAGCACACTAAGTTCTGGGTTCTACATAAGTTTGCCGCATTAGCTTCGATTAGCGTGAAGCCTCCAGTAGTCGCTTCTCAAAGTCTACTTGCTTCTGAACCTCGTCCTGGATCGGTCGCGATCTCTACTGCAACGTACTGATTCACATACAACCCCCTCCATTTCACTCTTCGATTTCATTCTACCACTCTCCCCCGGCGGCCATGTTTGACGACGACGAGCTTTTCGACGTGTTCGACCAGGACGCCCCACCACCAGCGCAAGATCCCAGCGCTGAGCGACGGCCGAGAAAAAAACGCAACGCAAATGGCAACGGCCGTGCTGCGGGCGTAGACGATGTCGCTGCGGGAGAAGCCATGGCGGTGGACTCGGCTCCGCCGGCGGACAACCCCCACCAACAGCAAGCACAACAGACGGACGATCTGCCACAGCCGTTGAATCCACCGTCCCCAAAACGGCGGCGCCGCACTCCTGCGGATGGCGCCCCTATCGTCACCGATGCCTTTCAGATTGAAGCTGTACGGGAGGTGCCGGCGTCGGGTGGTCTCACTTCGCAGAATACGGAGGGTCAATCCATCATCATCCCGCATCAAGTACGACATCAGGTTTCGCTTCCGTTAAACTACAAGTACCTACCGATAGAAAACCACGTTTTTCATGATCCTCCAGCACGCAAATACTCCTTCGAGCTGGATCCCTTCCAGAAGACGTCAGTAGCGGCGATAGAGCGCGGCGAGAGTGTGCTTGTCAGCGCCCACACCAGTGCGGGAAAGACGGTGGTGGCGGAATATGCGATCGCGCAGAGTCTGCGGGACAACCAGAGGGTGATTTACACCAGTCCGATCAAGGCGCTGAGCAACCAGAAATTTCGGGAGTTCACTGCGGAATTTGGCGATGTGGGATTGATGACGGGTGATGTAACAATCAATCCGTCTGCGACCTGTTTGGTTATGACCACCGAGATTCTGAGATCTATGCTGTACCGCGGATCGGAGGTGATGCGAGAGGTGCAATGGGTCATCTTCGACGAGATCCACTACATGCGAGACAAGGCCCGAGGAGTGGTGTGGGAGGAGACCATCATTCTGCTGCCCGACAAAGTTAGATATGTGTTTTTGTCTGCTACCATTCCAAATGCCATGCAGTTTGCGGAATGGATCTGTAAAACACATACACAGCCTTGTCACGTAGTCTACACCGATTTCAGACCTACGCCACTGCAGAATTATCTATTTCCCTCTGGCGCGGATGGCATCCACTTGGTCGTAGACGAGAAGGGCATCTTCCGGGAAGACAATTTCCAGAAAGCCATGGGCTCTCTGGGTGACGCCCATGGCGAGGACCCGTCCGATATCAATGCAAAGAGAGGCAAGGGGAAGAACAAGTGGCAGGTAAAGAAAGGAGGAAATAAAGGTATTGCTTCTCATTCCTCGTTGCCGGACAATACCGTGCTAACACATGACCAGGTCCCACTGATATCTACAAGATCGTGAAGATGATTATGATCAAGAACTACAATCCTGTCATTGTCTTTTCCTTCAGCAAGAGAGAGTGCGAAAACCACGCATTATCCATGAGCCAACTTGCGTTTAACGACGACGCCGAGAAAGATATGGTCGGGAAGGTCTTTGAGAACGCCATCGGCTCGCTATCCGAGGAGGACCGTGGCTTGCCTCAAATACAGCACATTCTGCCGCTATTGCGCCGTGGAATTGGTATCCATCACTCTGGACTGTTGCCCATTCTCAAGGAGGTGATTGAGATCCTTTTCCAGGAGGGCTTGATCAAGGTCCTGTTTGCGACCGAGACCTTTTCCATTGGATTGAACATGCCGGCGAAGACTGTAGTCTTCACCAGTCTCCGGAAATTCGATGGAAAGGAGCAGAGATGGATCTCTCCTTCGGAGTTCGTGCAGATGGCCGGTCGTGCAGGTCGTCGTGGTCTCGATGACCGTGGTATCGTTATACTTATGATCGACGAGAAGATGGATCCACAGGTTGCCCGTAACATCGTCAAGGGAGAGCAGGACCGCCTGAACTCGGCGTTTTACCTGGGATACAACATGATTCTGAACTTGATCAGGGTGGAGGGAGTTTCGCCCGAGATGATGCTTGAGAAATGTTTCTATCAGTTCCAGAATACTGCCGGTGTATCTGTGCTAGAGAAGGGTAATATATCCTTTGCATTATATGGTGTGATTATGATGCTAACGACGAGCTAGAACTTGGCGAATTGGAACGGGAAAAGTCCCTTATTTCGATCGACGACGAGGCCACGGTACGAGAGTACTATGACTTACGGCAGAAACTTGACATGTATGCGAAGGACATGAGGGATGTCATCAACCACCCAAGCTATTGTCTCAAGTTCATGCAGCCCGGCCGTCTCGTCAAAGTCAAGTACGGCAATCACGATTTCGGCTGGGGAGCTGTCGTTGCTTATTCCAAGCGAGCACGCGGCAAGGTAAGCACCCGATGGCTTCGCTATTCTTGCTCACACTAATTCCGTCTAGGAGGAGTTCTCACCCCAAGAGAGTTACGTTGTGGATGTCCTCTTGTGCGTCGCGCAGGACGCTCCTACATACACAAGGTCGAATCCCGACTTGCCACCGGGCGTCCGGCCACCTGCTGAGGGTGACAATGGAAAGATGGAAGTCGTTCCAGTGTTGCTCTCATGCCTGGATGGTATCTCAGGACTCAGGATTTTCCTTCCCAATGATATGAAGCAAGCCGAGCAGCGAAATACCGCCAGGAAGAATATTGATGAGATCAAGCGCAGATTCGGTGATGGAATATCAATCCTTGACCCTGTCGAGAACATGAAGATTACAGACGATTCCTTCAGAGCTCTTCTCCGCGTAAGTCCCTTTTAGCTGGAATGCGTGTTACCCCGTAGCTAACTTGCTTTTCAGAAAATCGAGGTCCTCGAGTCGAAGTTGCTCGTGAATCCCTTGCACAACTCTCCTCGTCTTGTCGATCTCTACAACAAATATAGCTACAAGATGGAAATCACCGAGAAAATGAAAGCTACCAAGAAGAAGATCACGGTTGCTCATTCAATCATGCAGCTGGATGAATTGAAGTGCAGAAAGAGGGTGCTTAGACGGTTGGGGTTCATCAGTGACACTGATATCGTTCAGCTCAAGGCGAGGTTGGTCACTCCGGATGTTATAGGTATTATGGCCGTTACTGACGTATCTACAGAGTTGCCTGTGAAATCAGCTCCGGGGACGAACTGTTGCTTAGCGAGCTGCTGTTCAACCGGGTGTTCAACGAGCTTAGTCCTGAGCTGACCGCCGCACTTCTCAGCTGCTTCGTCTTTGAGGAGAAGAGTAATAATGAGCTGCAGTTGAAGGAGGAACTTGCCGTGCCGTTTAGAGAACTGCAGGCGCAAGCCAAGCTGATTGCCAAGATATCGACCGAGAGCAAGTTGGCCGCCATGACAGAAGACGAATACGTGCAGAAGTTCAAGCCGCAGTTGATGGAGGTTGTCTACGAGTGGTCGAAGGGGGCTTCTTTCTCGGCTATATGGTGAGACTTCCAATCCTTTATCATAAAGTTTATTATTTGCTAATACTTTTCCAGTAAAATGACCGACGTCTACGAAGGCAGCTTGATTCGTATGTTCCGTCGTCTCGAGGAATTGTTGCGACAAATGGCTCAGGCTGCGAGGGTCATGGGCAGTGATGAGCTGGAGAAGAAGTTTGAGGAGTCGCTGTCCAAGGTTAAACGAGGTGAGTTATCCCCATTACAGAATAAGCGGACCTTTCACTGACACCCTCTGTCTCTTCAGACATCGTTGCCGCTGCTTCACTCTACCTGTAGATGTGTCGACATATGAGACAAGTTTGTATATACCTTACGCCTAAACTGCTCGGAGTTTTTGATTGCAAACGGTAACCTAATGAACGAACGTACGTACGGAGAGCCAAAGGATTGTCATGATTGCGTTCTTTATTTCGGGGGACCTTACATGCTGGTTTTCGTGGTTGATTTTACGTGTGAAGACGTCTCTCTTATGGTTCTTTGTCTGGACTTTCCAAAAAGCATGGCCCTGCATAGAGTAGATTTAGTCTGGGGCTGTTTCCTTATCCTGAAGCGTTGAGATCAAAATGTTCGCATCTGCAATGTTCTGTGCTGCAGAAACGCCAAGACAATGACCCAATTTTACACGTTGGTAGCGTGGGTTACCCGACAGCGCGTATCGCCCCAAAGTCGTCACGTCTCCCGGCGACCTCACGCGTTCCTTCCCACAAGCTTTCTAAAGCTTACCTGTAATCTCAACAGCACCACTGCAGCCATGCATCCAGGCGACCAACACAAGCTCCCGGGCTACACCCAGAATCCGTACGAGGAGAAGCAGATATCACCCTACACCGCGATCGAGATTGCGACGCTGCAGGCAAAGCTTAGATCAACAGCTAGGGCCGAATTCAATCTCGTCCAGGCCGGGTGCGGGGTGGAAAGAAGGTCCATTATATCCAGGCCGAGAATGCATCAACCTGGCGAACCAGGTCTTTGGCTTCAATGGATGGTCGAGTAGTATCACGAATAGGGAGGGATTCGATTTTGTATGTTGCCCCTCTCCTCCCTCCTCCCCGTCGCGAGCTAGATGGCATGGCATAGATGAGGAGGCTGACCGGTAACTGGATGCTTGATCAATCGAAAGAGCAAGTGGAGCATCGGCATATCAGTCCGGTTCGGGTCACACTCAAGGACGGGACGTTCCATGAAGATGTTGGGTACGGCCAAATGGAGAACGGAAAGAAGGCACAGGTTTTTGAGAAGGCAAAGAAAAGAGGAACCACAGATGGTCTCAAGAGAGCACTGCGATCGTTCGGAAACGTCCTCGGGAACTGTCTCTACGATAAGGACTATTTGGCAAAGATCACCCGAGTGAAGGCACCGCCTGTGAGTCGGATCGAGTGCTGGGATGTCGTTGTTTCGGTTGACTGAGACGTGTGCAGACTGTGTTCAACGAGAAGAGACTACACCGACATGGCGATGAAATGAAGCCCAGCCCTGTGAACAACAAACAGTAAAAAACGAGTCGGGACTGCTCCCCCGACTTTGGCCACGAAGGAAGTAGCTACCCCCCTAGGTATGTCACAAAGTATTCTGCAGTGTATATACTGGGCTGACGCTTATCAATTTCTCCCAGAGCCATTTGACGAGTACGGTGGAGATGAGCTCGAGGAGTGGGATATTTGCTGGAGACGACAGTGTCTTTGACGATGTGATGCCCGACGAGGTCGCCGTCGACGTAAGGATAATAGTCCTATCGATACACCATCAAAACCTGCTCCTGTACAAAGCACAAATTATACACGACCCCAACCACAGCAAACCGCCACAATCTCCAACCAAGATGCCTCAGCCGCGTCAACAGCCAGCACCAGTGCGTTCGTATGCACCTCCTCCACCAATCGCTGCCCCTCTCAGGCCGGGTCAAGGCACGAACTTGGGTCCTCAACAAGGCCCAGGCCCACCATGCTCAGTCAAGGCCGGTGTCTAGGCCTCCAGCTCAAGGACCTCAAGGCCGCCCAGGTATGCCACCTACCAATCGAGCAACTCCTGGGGCGACCACCACCCCGCGACCTCACAAACCTCCCCAGGCTGCCCCACGGGCCCAGCCGCCGCCTCAGGCCGCTTTACGAGCCCCACCACCTCCCCAAGCCGGCCCACGTCAACAACTCCTGCTCCAACTGTACCGCGAGCTCCACAGCCTCCTCCCCAAGCTGTCCGCGAGCTCAACCACCTCCCCAGCCACCAACCACAGCCCGCTGCCGCACCTATTGACCCTTGCCTCAACCCCCAAGCACCCCCTCCAATATCCCGCACAACCCCCGATAGGTTCTTCACCGGCCGGGCCGCCATGAACCTCAAAAGCGAGCAAGACATGATCCCGACGCGCACCAGCTTTCAACCCACACCGTCCACCACACTCCCCCGTTCCGCAGGAATAGACCACAGCAAGTCCTCGCCCGTTCCCCGGAAAGTTCTGCAGCAGGGTGGAACACCCAACTTCCAGCACCCAAGCTTAACCCCGGACGACAAATCGGCATGCACCTGGACGGGCGGATTCCGTGCTCCCGGACTGGCCGCGGGAACGAGCGGAGTGCGGATGCTACTGGGTACATATAACTCCACCCCCCCCCCCCCCCCCCCCCCCCCCCCCCCCCCCCCCCCCCACCCCCCCCCCCCCCCCCCCCCCCCCCCCCCCCCCCCCCCCCCCCTATCAAACCTCCCAGATCTCCCGTCCGTATATAAGCAATAACTAATTCAATCTACCAGCGGCAGACCGCATTGGGAAACACACCTGGACACCAACTGAACGGCCAACCACACCCGAACGGAGGTAACGATCCGAAGAGACCAAGGAACTGAATCGATGTTTGATTATATCAATATTGTTAGGAGCCTTTTGCTTGGGCTTCTCTAGGGGGTTCTTGATGATGCTGGTACTGAACTTAGGGGGGAATTTGATCGGATGCTTACTTCCACTTTATTTTTACTTTATTGCTAGCTTGTTTGTTTGTTTGTTACATCTTGCTTTACCGTATAATGTTTTTCTGGCCTGTTACTCTCACATGAACTTTCATCACATCACATCACTAGAAGCGTTAGGTATGGTCAAAAATTTACTTCAACTCAACACCATCACCACTAAAGCCTGCCCCCCTTAAGAAACACGCAAGGAAAGGAAACAATACAACGGAGGGCGGAGGGTATGCGCTTTAATACAGCAGCAGACAAAAGCAGACAGAAAGGTAAGGGAACAAATATTCATGAGGTATTATAAAACAGGCACAGCAACGACATGCGGTCGCTCGTAAACCAAGAAAGAAAAAGAAAAAAAACGGTGCACACAAAAGATGAGTTCGAGGTTGGTTTGATCTGCTTCCACTCGACTTCTCTCTCCTCCCTCTGACCCCCTGCTACCAGGTACACAGCTTAGTACCCGTTGATCGTCATCCTCTGCTGCGAGCCCCGGCTCAGCTCCCTGTCAGCGGAAGGAGAGAGGGCCTGCTGCTTCTGCACCGGCGGCGCTCGACTCCTTGAGGGCCAGCAGCTGCTTGGGCGCGGAAGGTCTCGTAGTGGATCTGGGAGGTAGTCTCGATCAGGTCCTGGAGGTGTGTGCGCGTGAGGAAGTTGCGCAGGTAGACGAATTCACAGTGGGCCTCGTTCTCAACTATCAACTGTTAGACTATGAAAAGTAGGAAGGGAGGAAGATAGGTGAGTACCATTGATAACACCCCCATCTGTTCTGTCGTCCGCGCACTTGCTTGCCCTCAACGATAATGGACTTCTCGGAGCCCACGACGGCGAACGGAATGATGTTCTTGATCTGGGCGTTGAGCGCGCGCTCCTCCTCGTCGAGCTCATCGTTGTCGTAGGGGTACTCTTCAGGTTGTGGAAGGCGAACTCCTCCTTAATTCGCTCCTTGAATGCGGCGCGCTCCTCCATGGTCAGGGAGTCTGACTTCGCAATGACGGGAACGACGTTAACAACGTCGGATAGCTTCTTCAGGACTACGATGTAGATGCTTGAGACTGTGAAGGGCGGGAGATTAGCGGGGCAATTATTGGTGGGAGGGGAGTAGCATACGCGTGTCCAAGGGCGGATGAAGAACAGACAGCAGTGAATACGGGTATCCTGGATTACCGTTCCCTCTGTGCAGTGAGCTCCTTTCGGAGGTAGGCAGAGTGCTGATCCTTGATGTACTTGACGATAGGATCCCAGCATCTGTCGTTGTGATTGTCTCCGTAACCGGGGTATCGACAATATTCAGGCGAAGCCTAACGCCATTCTCCTCAATGACTATTGAGTACGATGTTAGAACTGTTCGTAGCTATCGTTGACCAGTGTCCTTACTGTGGGAAACGGTCTGAATCTCGGTGGTGGATCGCACGGGCTCATCGGGGGTGAGACGGCCCTTCGAGTCGATGAAGGTGCGAAGCAAAGATGGTGTTGATCAAGGTCGACTTTCCGAGACCCGTCTGGCCTGCACGACAAATTGTCAGCTCTCTCCAAACTCCCGAAATAACAGCAGCCCAAAGCTTATTCCGACGACGACGGGGGCAATGCATACCAACGCATATCACGTTGAATGGAAGCCACGCTTCAGAAGCTTGCGCTCAATCTCGAGAGGTAATGCTGTCGAAACCGACATGGCTCCTGGGGAAAACGACTGTTTGGGCCATTGCGTCGTAGAGTTATTGACGGAGGAATTGAGCCTTTTTTGGTGGGTCAGACGTGTTGTTGGCAGCAGGATGACGAGGGCTAGGGAGGGAGGGCAGGTGCTGGAGAGGGGGGGGAGATGTAGGTAGATAGAGTAGTTGTGTAGGCGAGTGAGCAAGGTGGACGACGCGAAAAAGGGGAAGCGGAATGTCTGGGGGGGGGGGGTCAGGGTTCAGAGTTGTTGGTGGTTGTTGCCAAATAGCGCTAACGGGGGAGATGCGTTTGCTGATTGGCCAATCGTTGGATCAGTGACCAAAAATCCCCACGCCCGCAACCACCCACTACCACACCATACATCGACGACACATCGAATTGGACGTCGATCCGTTCATTCAATTTCCCGCCACTGCGCCAACACTCTCCTCGCACTCGAGTGTATCTCTCTTCCGCGAAACGAACAGTCATGGCGACCATGGCGATGTCAGCTACCCGGACCAGCACATTCTATGCGCTGAAGTCGTTCCTGCCGCGGTTGTCGCTGCCCGCCTTCGCCGTTCCGTGGCCATAACCTCAACATTCCGGCGCTGCTCCCCGGCATCTTCGAATCGATCCTTCGCGCCGTCCCAAGAAGAAGCAGTCTCACTCCAGGAAACGTATGCGACAGTTGGCCGGAAAGGCACTGAAGGATGTCAACGCGCTGGGCAGGTTGCTCGTCGTGCGGGAAGGTCAAGCGGTCCTATCCTATGTGCGCACGTGTGAGGGATCAGGGATATGTGGCTGGGAAAGGGCAACAAGGCAGAGGGGAGGCGCAAGAGCACGTTGAGGTGGGCCGAGTGAGGGGTACGCGGGTTGGGGAGGAGAGTTGTAAAGCGATTGGGATACGTTCATACTGGGAATCGGGACGGCTAGATCGACGGGGTACGATCGATGTGTATTATACTCTAGAGCGCCGGCTGGGGTTTGGTGATTGGCATATCGTAAACTTCTCGTCAAAATGGTTTCACCTTCTTGAGTGCTGTCACGTGATTCATTGGTGGGGCTGTTTGGTGTAACCTCGAGCAACAGCTTCATTACTCTACACGACCCTAAGCCGTCGCCTTGAGAACTTCACCACATCCACCTCTTCCCGACATAAGCCGGCCTCGCTCGCGCCTGTTGTAGCAATGGTAATCGATCAGCTCTTCGATTTATTTGTGTTGCTCTCCCGCTAACTCAGCAGTAACAGTCAAAACAATTCCTTACAGCCCATGTCGCAGAGGACGGTGCGTGCTCCAGTTAGTCTACTTTTGCTATCAACGATCTTACTGACGTCCTACTCGAACGAAGCCCATGAGTTCGACATCTTCGGCGTTGCTTGACCACTTCCTACGTCGTCACGGTCGGAGGCGATTTCCAATGTCAAGTTATGGCCGACTGGTACGCAGGAGCATTCCCTAGTACACCCAGTTCGCCGGTGCACATCCATTGGGAGCCATCATGTCGCAGTCAACAGAAACGACGGTTTCTCGAGCAGCAAACTGCTGGATTCGGCGGAGAGATCATTCTGTGGGACCTCGAGAATCTAGAAAAGTTGCACCAGATCAAGGGCCAGAAGGGTACGAGCTTGAGTGGGGGGCCTGTCCAGCCTGTGAAAGACGGCTGACCATTGTCGCGCACAGGAACTGAAGGAACATGGGCTGTGGCGCTGTCGCCCACGGGTGACCGGCTGGCAGCGACGACCTGTGACGGAAAGATCAATGTCTGGGATAACACCAAACGCAAGAAAACCTTGATCACGTATGTGACGAAGGGAACGCTTTGGAATGACTGTCGATATGTAAGTACCCCCGGTGTTCACACTTCCTCTCCGAGTTAACTGAAGTCTATGCAGTTCTCCAGATGGACACCTTATCGCGTCGGGACACGAGAATGGTGGTGTTTACATCTTCAATAACCTCACATCCAAGATTCATCACTCCCTCCATGGTATTATTTCGTCGTCTACGGAAAGAGTAGTTCTGGACTTGGCCTTCGTTAGGTCTGGTCAAGCCGGTTAGATGCGTCAAATTCTCTCCCGGCGGAAAGCTCTCGCCGCATGCGGCGATTCACCACCGTAGTTGCACTGTTTGATGTCGTATCTGGAGAGCAGGTTGCAAATCTCGCAGGTCACTCAAGCTGGGTGTTTTCCGTTGCCTGGAACTCTATTGGCGACCATCTGATTAGCGGGTACGAAACAACAGAAGTCCGACCAATCCCTATGATCGCGAGCTGACAGCTAGATAGCTCCTTTGACGGAAAAGTGAAGGTCTGGTCGGTGGACACTGGCTCGTGTGTGGCCACCCAGAACGAAGCTACAGCCGCTATACATACGGTGCAAAGCATCCCAAGGGGAGCGGGTATCGGAGAAGGATTCGTGGCTGCTGGTGCGAACAAGAGCATATACTACTACCGTGAGTCGGCCGGGGAATAGATGCGAGTGGTTTGAGTATAGAAAGCCTTTGTAATTGATCTGCGGCGTGCGTAGCGCCGCAGCTGCCAGCCAGCATCACTTCTATTTTTACGTGAGAGCCGGTTTCTATTTTAGCATCTAAACGCGTCAACCGCGCGGTGATGAGCACGGCTGCAGTGTGCACGAGTGAAACATGCGCTGCGCTACCTGAGACAAGCCAGGGTCGAGGCTGAGCCATGAATCTCCTGAACTCTTCTAATCCATAATCCATCTCTCACCGTTCGCCCACCACCCATTTAGAAGCACCGCCTTCAGTCACTCCTTCGAAATCGGATACCTCTCGTCGTTCTCTTGTTCTCTTCGTCTGTCACTCTTCCTTCAACTCCCATCTCACACACCCCCAACACACCCACCAACACAACTCCAACCTTCAACACCCCAGTTTTACCATCAACCATGTTTAAGCTTAAGTTCCTCGCTACGCTTTTCATTGTGGGTCTTGCGACTCGCGTGTCATCCGCGACCCCTCCCGTACGTACAATCTCAAGCTATCTCTGCAGATGCGAATTAGGGTTGACAGTTCCCTAGGCTTGTATTCTCGCTTGCGTCAACGAGGAGAAGTCGGTCAGCGACATCAAGGCAGTCTGCGCCGCCGAGTCCGCCCAGGAATGTCTTGCCGATAGTTGCGACAGCGGCGATTACAGTACTGCTCGCACCTACTTCGAGAATATCTGCAAGACTGGCGGTTATGAAGTCGGTATGTTCATCAAGACAGCCCTTGAGCTCCCTCCCGATCTGACGTGTCGACTAATGCCCTTCCTCGTCTATTCTAGCTAAAGCTGTTTCTGCTACCGCCAGCGGTACTGCTAAGCCTACTGCCAGCAGCGGAGCTTCGTGAGTTACCCGAAACATATGTGGCTAAGATGGATATAGAGATCTGACTGTTAAATAGTTCTACTCTTGGTACCGCATCCGCCAGTGCTTCCGCTGATGCCCCTAACGCGTCTTCCAGCTCTGCCGAGGGTGCCGGCAATCGCATTATCGGCAATACTCCTCTATACGTTGGCTTGACTGCGATGGCCATCTTCGTCCTTGGCTAAGGCACCATACCTCCTAAGTCCCTTTCTTGCGGCGGCAGAATACCACCATCGCGTGTACAGCATTCTTCACTGGTGATATTGGGCAGCATGGGTAAAGGTTAGCATAATAGCAGGTTCGGATAGAGGTTGTCTTCAGTGCGTTTGAGAATAGAGGTGTTTCTAAGGCGGGCTTTTGATTTCCCTCGTGCTCCCTCTATCGTGATCCGTACTGTACAAGTGTGATATGTGCATCTCTTCCCATCATCTTCCACCAGCTTCCCACCACCTCCCCACCAGAAACGAGTTTAATCGGATTTGTTGTCTTTGAGATGATCCACCATTTTCTGCAACTCGGACTCTCCATCCTTCCGGAACTGTGTCACCTTCTTGATGTTCTTGAGCGTGAGGTCGGACAGGTCCTTCCCCTCAGTCGCACACCTTGCCACCGTCTTCGCCGTCAACGCGAATCGCATATCCTTCGGGCCGTCCACAAGCTCTAGGATAGCACTCGGCGCCTGATCCGTCTTCAGAGGTTCGATCCTCAGTACCCGCGTGTACCCTCCAGGCCGCTCCTTATAACGCTCCGCGATATCGCCAAACAATCTCGGGACCATATCTAACGGTGTCTAATATCGATTCCGCGATCAGTCACCCTTCCACCTTTTCTCCCCCCTCCCTCGCGCACGGCAACGGGGCAGAAATACGTAGAGAATCTGCTCAGCGCGTAGCCGCGAGGCATTGGTTCCCTTCTTTGCGAGAGTGATACATTTTTCGGCGAGACGCTGCGCTTCCTTCGCTTTCGGGTACGTGGTCGAGATCGATTCGTGTTCGAACAGCGAGGTAACGAGGTTGCGGAGGAGGGCTTGTCGGTGCGCGCTGTTGCGGCCGAGCATGCGGTGCTTTGTGTAGCCCATCGTGGTGGAATTGGAGGCGACGACGACGTTCGTTCGTGGAAGACGGGAATGGAGGTGAGCAGTGAGAAATGCTAGTTGGAAAATGGTGGGTTTTGAGCCGCCCCCGCTGATGTGCTAGTGGTAGTTAGTGGCCCTGCACCATCGAGACATCCCACCGATGCACCACTAGCTACAGACGACGCAATTTTGGTCAACATAAACAACGGTTACGGGCTCTCTACAATTTCTAACTATCAATGTTGGCAATCATGCCAATCTCACGCAACATCGCCGTCTGCGAATCCTCAGGTCCCAGCTCCCTATCACTGTTGGCATTCATGCCAATCTCACGCAACATCGCCGTCTGCGAATCCTCAGGTCCCAGCTCCCTATCACTGTTGGCATTCATGCCAATCTCACGCAATATCGCCGTCAGCGGATCCTCAGGCCCCAGCTCCCTCCTTCGCCACAAACTAAACTCCTCCTCATCCACGATATCGTCTCGCGCTGCTCCCCCGCTGTTACTCCTCTCAATGAGCTGAATCAACCAGCCGAATTTCTCGAGCTGCTCTTGTCGATCATCATATTTAATATGGCGACCCTTAGTCGTAGGCTCCCGCCGCTCATCCGTAGCCTTGCTCGGTCCTCTATACTCGTCGGGGATGGGAATATCTCTTCCCTTGACTATGATTTGAAGGCTTAACCTGCTGGAAGAGAGAGGCACGAGGTGGGGGAAAGCAGCGGTCTACGTACTACTCGGCGGCTCTGACGCCGTGCCATCTTTCACCCGTTCCATCGTCTGCCTGACCACATCCAACACTGTATGGTCGGAGGAAGATAATCGGTTGACATCAGCACCCGCGCGAATCAGACATCCGCAGTGGTTCTGTCGACGAATATTACCAGCTGCAAGTTGCAGTGCCGTCCAGCCGTCTCCGTTCACTACATCCAGGTACAATCCCTCGCTGAGCTTCCGTCCTGTCCGTGGTACAAACTCCAGGAGAAACTCCAAGAGCTTCGTTTCCGGCTCCGAAACTGCGAAGTGAAGGAGTGTGTCACCAGAAACCGGGCGCGCGATCAGATGTTCGTCGTATTCCAAGAGGAGGTGAAGGAATGCTTCGTGGTGACCGACTGCGGCCCAAGCTGCGGGGGTCAACTCGTCCCAGAATGTGTCTCCAGCCAGATTCCACCAGTCGCAGGTGGCGTGGAAGTTCGCGCCCTGGGCGAGCAGCAATCGACCTGGTTCGAGGGAGCCATATGCTGCCGCTGTGTGTAATGGTGTGAATGTGCTCATATCCTGGGCTTCGATGTCTGCACCGAGCTCCAGGAGTTTCGCTGTGGCACGAGTGTTGTAACTTTGTATCGCGAAATGTAGCGGAGTCCTCCTGTCTGCACTTCGTTGATTCACATCCGCACCCGCGGCGACGAGGTCAACTGCTATTGTGTTGCTGCAGAAGAGCGTGCTTCGTGCCCACTGACCCAGCGGCGTCTTGCCATCTCCTGCGCATGTCGAGTTTCCACTACACCCGTGCCCGAGGAGGGCTCTGACAACAGTCTCGTTATGGTTTCCTGCAGCTGCTACAATTGGTATGTAATCGCGCTCTGAGTCACCTTCAAGCAATTCCGGCGCCCTCTCTGCAACGAAATCGATGGTTGCTACTGTGGATTGACCAGCTCGTACCCCAAGGAAGCCATCGATAGTGTCTATGTGGTACTGCGGCAACATCGCCAGCCACCACACTGCAGCGCCTAGCCAGTCCAAACATTCGAAAGCACCAAGCTTTTCCAACTCCTGCAGAATCTCGGATGATTGCTGGGCAATCGCATATTCAATGGGCAACGAATCCGCCGATCCCTCGAACGAGCACAAATCTTCCATTACATCCGCATGCTGAAGGAGATTCTTCACCGCCGCAAGGTTGTAAGCCCGAAATGCAAACGTTAGCGGCCCTCCGAGGGGGAATCTTCCGTGGATTTCAATGCACGGGTGGTCCCAGCCCATGTCGTCGTCGAGTCGAGCGCCGGCAAGGAATAAGAGGTTGGTGGTACGAGGGATGTCTGCCGTGTCAAAGGATATGATCCAGTGGATGGCGGAGTCGCGGATTTTTACGCCGTCGATGTCCAGTGTTTGCGCTGAGGCGCCGGATGCGATGAGAGTCTGGTGGTGTTAAGGGTTGGGAGAACAAACAGCAGTAGAGAAAGACATGCCTCCAGAACGCCTAGGTGCCCGCCTTTGCAGCACAGAACCAGCAGACTCTCCCCAAACTCGTTGCAAGCGTTTGGATCCCCACCGGCTTGTATGCAGGCTTCTGCAAGCTCCTTGTCTCCATATATCGCCGCGTTCAATAGGAGGTCGTCAACATCATCTCTACCCTCAATGGGCTTTCCGGAACCGATGCACGCTGGAGGTTGATTCGGATAGAAATACTGGTTAAACCCACCCCTCGAATGAAAGTCCTGTCTCGCCTGGATATATAAATCCGCATCGATGGTCCGCAGGGTCTTTTCCGCCGTCCAGGAGCCCCACGCAACAGCTTCATACAGCCAATCGAGTTGCAAATCTTCATCGATGTCGAGTGGACGGTTATGAGCCACATGCCATGCATGAACTACCGCTTGCGCGGGGAGATAATCCGCTTTTGCGGACTGCACGGCGGCAGATAACATCCCATCGATATCCGTGGGGCCTCCCAAGCCGAGAGACCGTGCTAGAGCCAGCTGGAAGTATGTGCGGCCACGGGTAGGGCCGCGGGTGGATTGCGTCAGGTCCGTTATTATCTGTTGTTGTACGTCCAGCGGGATCTCATCCTCGTCTTGCCAGCCGAAGGTTACGTAGTGTGCGTCGCTGAGATATGTCTGGAGGCTGTGGTCTATTTCTTTTCGTGTGCGGCCGACTCTCGGAGGGGGCGGTGGGCTTCGCAGAGTGTTATCAATGGTTCTCTAGATTGGAGGGCAACAGACGGCATACCTCATTTCGGAGTCCACTTCGAGGATGGTTTCGACCATGGAAAGTTCTGAGCACCGCTCCTCCGGGTTATATGCCAACAGCTGTCTACATGCCAGCTCGAGGACGGCTTTGAACTCCTCTGGTACATTCTCATCCTTCTGGATGAAATCAACCCCGCTCTGCAGAACACTCTCATCCTT